TTTTTCAGCAAGCGGGACTGACCTAGGGTGAATTTTAAATAGGGATAATTTTTAATGATTTTAATAAGAGACACAGCTACAAATATTTGGTTTTTAATTGGCTTTTATTGGGGAAATGTACTATGTTGTTTTAATATGCTGTGAGCCGCCCTGAGTCCCGTGGGGAGAAGGGCGGCATATAAGTCTTAAAAATAAATAATAAATAAATAAATAAATCCTAAATATCTTGACAGATGGAATTAAATTAATGAATTTAAAATATGTAAGTCCCATGCCATAATAAGCTATGAAGGGTTCTGTTGTCTTCTGTTATATTTCAGAAGGCCTCTTAACCACTCAGAAAAGGTTCACTGGGCAATATAACAAGGATGCAGTGCTGAAGGTCAACATTTGTTTTGTCACCTACATAGATTCAGTAATGGGTCATGACTAGCTACAACAACAAAATAGAATTTCCTGCTACAGTATTAAGATTACCTGGATCTTCTCTGAGATTCTGGAGTAAAAGCAATATGTTTCTCTTCCCAGATATCTTCTTCATCAGAGCCACCATCATCAAATTGCTGTATTCTCTCCTTGCAGCATGCTTCAAACAAAGCAATGTTGCCCTGAACATATGAAAAAGAGCACTATTAATAAATACTTTTTTCATTTATCATGCACGATCTGTTGTGCAAATAAGCAAAAGCCTCCTGAGGTGTAAAGCAAAGTTCAAATAATTTTCTGTAGGTTGAATGAAATAAGACATCCTAAGCATGGACTATCACTCCACTTATTTTGTGGTCCTAGGACAAGAAATGTAGGAGTGAGGAACTTGATTTGATTTCTCACTGTTCCCTTTGATGGAGCAGTGAAAAATCATGTGGGAACACTCAAAATAATTCAATGGAAAATTTCAATCAGTTTTACTCGTGTTCTGAACACTTTCCTCCCTTTTCAGGCATAACGTACTCACAGGGAATCACCAAGTACAATTAATTTTGACCCAAGTGATTCTACACTATCTTGTGCTTAATTCAATACTTATACGTTATACATCCTCAACGTATGACTACAATTGAGCCCAAAAGTTATGTTGCTAAGTGAGAAATTTGTTAAGTGAGTTTTGCCCCATTTTATGATTTTCTTGCCACATTTGTTAACTGAATCACTGCAGTTGTTAAATTAGTAACATGGTTGTTAAGTGAACCTGGTTTCCCCACTGAGTTTGCTTGTCAGAAGGTTGCAAAAGGTGATCACATGACACCGGAACACTGCAACCGTCATAAATGTGAATCAGCTGTCAAGTATTCCAATATAAATCACATGATCATGGGGATGCCACACAAGTCATAAGTGTGAAAAATGGCCAGAGGTCACATTTTTCAATGCCACTGTTAATTTCGAATGGTCACTAAATGAACTGTTGTAAGTCAAGGACTACCTGTACCTAAAAAATACAGCAAGAGATCAGGAAAACCAGGGCCTCCTCTTCCTCAGTTCTAAGCTTAAAAATAAATTCTGTAACAGGGATCATTCTTAGAATTAATATTTTGGAAACCTGATGCCAAAAGAAACTATCTCCTAAAAACTAGTGGGAGGAATCAGATAACACTAAAGTATGGCTGGGCACATGAAGTCTTTTGAACAACTTTAAAATAATGCAGCAGCAAAGATCACTGGGATCAGTGACAGTTGAACATGTACGCATGAGTGAAGGGTACCTGCCTTATTTACTAAAGGGAAGCAGAATACTTAAGCAAGGCAAATAGAATTATGCACACACATTGAGTTGAATCTATTCCTAGGTGATCCACAGAATACCAGTATCCACCAGCAGAATTCATTCCTTCATCCCATGGCAGCCTGTTTTATATAAAACTGTGGCCAAAATGTGTCATGTCCCTCCCTCTCAGATTAGTAAAACTTAATAGAGAAAGAGAGGGAAAAAACACGAAAATAAGAATATAAGAATTCCAGGTTCTCCTGCTCTTTGTTGTGTTATTTGCACGTAAGGGAGCAAAGCTCTATCCCTTGTGAGAAAACAGGTCAGCCTGAAAACTGTGAAGGTATTATTAGTCTTCTTATTGTTATAAAAAAATGTTCTTTACTCCAGGCTGGGGATCTTGATCCCACCCATATTTTGGAAAGATATGGATTGATTTCAGGATAAAGGAAATAAAATGTAAGGAAAGAGAAGTTCATTTCAGCATTCAATCCTTCCAAGGTCAGTAAAATGAGGACCCAGATTGTTGGGGGCAATATGCTGACTCTGTAAACCACTTAAAGAGGGCTATAAAGCACTATATAAATCTATGTGCTATTGGCTATACATAACAAAATGTTTCCTCTAATTATTCCTTCTGTAAAGCATGCAGCAGTACCGTTTCTATTGTTAAAATTATGCTCTTTTAAAGTACAACCAGCAGGCTAGTTCTCATTCAGAGATATGTACTCATTTTCATTTGTACTGAGCAGAAAACTGAAAAATACTTACACTTTCATTTGTATTGAGGGTAAAATTGATGTCTGATACACGATCAAAAGAAACACTGTGAACAAAGTACAAATTTAGGCAGAACAACAGTAAACAAGTATCATTTTGTAGGATATCTTGAAGTACTTCATTTAATAACTTTACGTATATAAAAAAACCTCTGAAATACTCTTTCCTAGTACAAAATTCTAAGCCTTTTGACACAGCCCATATAAACTACTTGAGAAAATGAATCTTGAACCTTTTTCTCAGACCATGATAAACCTCATGCCTAACACTGCTTCTTCCTTTATCAAGGAGAATACCTCAAGGCCTTTTGACATGTTATAAAAAAACATTTTTACCTCTGGGGGGGGGTGTAATATGAAGCAATCAGGTTTAAAAATTATGCATCACTAAAGATGCAAGGCATCACAGCTTGCACACATGATCAACACAATTAAATGGAGCTTGCAAAGGATCCAACTATGTGCCTGTTAGTAACTATAATATGTGAAGCTACTCTATATTACATCTTCAAAGATGAACGGGCAGCTTGATTGCTAATATATTAAGCTAAAAGCTCTTTAAACAAGCTCAAGTAGGACAAGGATTAAACTCACTTGTCTCAATGAGAGGCATCACTTCTAGCAGTAGTATTCACTTCAATAATATGATAATATGGACACTCTTGGATAATTCTATGGGAAGGGAAATGAAATAGTCTATGTTGCTACCAAACTACTTCTGGAAATCAGCAGAAAAACAATTTTAGGTCTACCATTCCAAGAATGGTCAGGTTCAGACTGACAGAAATGTTTTCAAAATGAGAATTTTAATATGCCAAAATTTTGATATAATATCTCTGGATCTGGGATACAGATTTTGATATAGATTCTTGGAATGTGTGCAGTAATATGGACACATTTCATAAATCCAGATTAAAACAGAGCACAGAATGCTACGTAACCTAAATTACTGCATTTCAAATGCGCAAATAAAAAAACCACAAAGTTGTTTCTTGTCCATCTCACATAACAGCTGCCATCATATGTATATGGAAATCAACGCTTAGCTGTTTTTTGATTTAACTTAATTTGTGAAAACAACTGAATTTTCATAAACATCCTGTTAGTTATAGGTTAGCTTTGTGTATGAGCAATTGCTTATATGCAGCTTAAACTGTGTTTTTAAATATTTTAATTGTCGGGAACTTTTAGCAGTCAATTTACCCTTTTCATTATTGAAATATTCAAAGACTGACAACTTGCCTGTATAATTTTTTCACAACAAATAAGCTAAATAAGAGATAGAAAAACATACCCAGCAAAGTTTAGAAAGTCATAATACTATATAATACAGTTGGTGGTTGTTGAAAGTTTATTTCAATTCAATTGAATTTATTACATAAAAGCAATTTTTATAGCTTGCAATCACTAATGTATTTGTATTTATTTATCATATGTATGTAATTGCCCATCTCACATGAAAGTGGTTCTCTCAGAACTGTTTCCAAAGATATGGGCCACATAGAATACATCCATTATGCTAACAGTCCCAAAGATAATTTTCAAGCTAGGTCATGATATATCCCAATTTCTAGAACTTATCATGAAACTTAAAGAGAAAGAAACTCATAACATGAACCTAAAGTTCTATTTTTTTTGTAAGGGTCACAAAAAAATTGCTTTATAAATTGACTTTACAAATTATAATGAGATTTCTTTTGGAGTATACGCAAAGTATAAATATCTACGGAACAAAACTAAATAAACAGCATTTTACTGCTTTTAGGGGTACTAAAATGTGATGCAAGACATGGAAAACAAAAGTAATTTTTAAAATAGGACTGTACTTACTTGCCGATGTCATCTTGATCAGCAAACTTCTCATCGTTGAAGCCAAACTGGTCAATAAAATTGGACGTCATTTGTTGCATCTGATAATCAGAAAAGGCCTGGCAATCCCAGGACCAACGACAGTGATATAATGATTCTAATAATAGTCTAAATACTACTTGCCCAATTTGCTCCAGAACTAATACTTTCATTAAATTGCAAATACATGTCATATGTGCGCACATGCACATACATACATATATACATTAATACACATACCACATATGGATAGGGCTGTTTTGTTACTATCAGATGTATGTAATTTGGGAGTTTGGGGGGTGGTGGTGACTATTTTATAACTGAGTACTAAAATTATAGCGGAATGGCACCACCCTCAATCTAACTAATAGATATAGAAGAGTTTCACGATTTGTTTTGTTTTAGATGGAATATACCTAGTAACAAGAGTATTACTATTACTTAAAAAACCCCCTACTTTTTAAGACTAATCCTACTATAATATTTGGTAAAATATAAGAATTGTGGAGAAAAAAAGTTTCTTCGGGAGTTACACTTAAAGTGAATCTCTTGCATCTTCCCAATACCTAAAGTTTGCCAAGTTCCTATTTAAGGATACAGCCAGAGGTAAGTGACTGTATCCCCATACCGAAATCAGGGGTGATATAAAACTCATTACTGCCTAAAGCTCATTCAACACCTTTTCTATGTGTTTTCATGCATAAAGCAAAAACCTGGGTTTTTTTTAGATTTTGCTTTTTTGAACTATGCAATTTGATGGTTTTGACTATTCCATTGGATTATATGCATGAGTTTCTTCCAGACAATGAGTAGTTTTTAATATGAAATTGAACCCTAAAGGACTATTAGAGAATCTACTGTAATCAATAATTTTGTAGATCAGGGTTTTATGATTATGTAATTTATATTGCTTCTGAACGAGGCATTAATATTGGGGACCTGGGCAGAGCACAAGCTAGCGTCAATCAAGGCCGAGCACATCTCGGGGAAGGACAATACCCAGGCAGATGTCTTGAGCAGAGCGACAATAGACCACTCAGAGTGGAGGATTCACCCGAGGGTCTTCAAAGAGATCTGCCATCGCTTTGGTCTACCTTTAGTGGACCTATTCGCCTCACCAGCCAACACCCAGCTCCCCCGCTTCCCGGCTCAGGGAGCGGAGCAGATAGATGCACTACGCTCTCCATGGCCTCGAGGTCTGCTGTATGCTTTTCCACCTCTCCCTCTTCTTCCGGCGGTGGTACGCAAACTACTCCGGGAAGACGCAGAGATTCTACTGGTAGCCCCGTATTGGCCAAGGAGACCGTGGTTTGCCGACCTGCTGGGTCTCTCCATAACGGATCCGTGGAAGATTCCTCCAGACAGGATATCACTCAGTCAGGGAGCCATCCTACATCCGGATCCCCAGTGGCTGCAGCTAGCCGTCTGGCACTTGAGCGCGACTTTTTGTCGAGGCAATCTTGCTCCTTAAGGGTCATTGAGATAATACAGGCATCCCGTCGCCCATCCACGAATCGTATCTATGAGGCCACGTGGAAAAACTTTTGTGCTTGGTGCGACAGACATCAGTTGTCTCTCTCACGACTCAATATTCCTAGTATTTTGGAATATCTGTCGGACGGCTATGACAAGGGTTTGGCCCCTAATACGTTACGTAGGCAACTAGCTGCGCTCTCTACTGTTCTCGCCGGGGAATCCGGAGGGTCGTTAGCTCACCATCCAATGCTCCGCTCTTTTAAGGGAGCGGCTAACACCAGGCCGCCTGCGGTGCATAGATATCCTTCCTGGGAGTTGCCTAGGGTTCTGCGGGCTCTAACTAGGTCGCCCTTCGAACCACTAGCATCGTGTGATATGAGTCACCTGGCACACAAGGTGGCTTTCTTAGTAGCCATCACGTCGGCGCGACGTATATCCGAGCTGGCGGCATTGTCGGTCCGTCAGGATCTGTGCATTTTCCACTCGGACCGCGTGGTTCTCCGTCTGGACCCTACCTTTGTCCCAAAGGTGAATTCGCTCTTTCATAGAAGCCAGGAGATTACTCTACCGGACTTTTGCCCTAGGCCATCGTGTACCCTGGAACGGCAATGGCATTGCTTAGATGTCCGCAGGGCGCTCCGTTACTATATTGCACGGACAGCGGATTTCCGCAAATCAGAAGCCCTGTTTGTCTCCTTTCACCCCTCTTCCAAGGGTAGGAAGGTTTCCTCTTCCACGATTGGCAGGTGGATTAGGGCGTGCATCACCGAGGCATATCGGGCGGAGTCATTGCCGGTTCCACGAGGGGTCACAGCTCACTCCACACGGAGCGCTTCTACATCTGCGGCTTGGAACACTCAAGCGACCATCGAGGAGGTTTGTAGAGCGGCCACATGGTCCACTCCATCTCCTTTTATTCGGCACTACAAGGTCGATAAATTTGCCTCGTCGGAGGCCTCTTTTGGTAGGAGGGTTCTCCAGCAAGTAGTTCGCCAAAGTGCCACACCGGACCGGTCTGCTTCCCACCCTCAGGGACAGTAGGCTTTGGTATGTCCCATGGGTGGATCCTCCATCTCCGGTGCTGGAGAAGGGGCGTTGTCTTACCTGAACGCCTTTTCTCAGCACGGAGATGGAGGATCCACCTCCCTCCCTCTTTTATAGGGAATTATTTAGCCTTATAGGTAATTAGTGTATGAGCCAGTACGTCATCGATCAGTCAAGGGCTACGCTTGCGTCAAGACTGGGCATAGGTCCAGGGACAGGGCGTGACAACTTTGGCTGACTTGATCTGATTGGGCAGGAATACAGTCTCAACCCATGGGTGGATCCTCCATCTCCGTGCTGAGAAAAGGCGTTCAGGTAAGACAACGCCCCTTCTCCAAGTTATACTTTTAGAACGTGTTCTCAAATGTCTAACTTGATTACAAGAAACAGGATTGTCTTGGTTGTGAAAAGTTGTTGGACAATGGAAGAGGTTGACACATAATGTAGTCAGTTTTTCTTTGCTTGTGTTATCAGAGGCTGGACAGGTCATCTCATGAATCCTGAACTTAACAGGATTTGGATTAGATAATGCCTAAGGTCACTTCCAACTCTCCAGTCTATGAAATTTGTTTATCTTCTTAAATATGGTAACTTCTTACTCAACTGCAACATCTGAAAGTGAATACCTTATCAGGAGCTTTTAGCAAAATAATATATGCAAGGAGTATAGCTTAAGAGTGTAACTCACTTCTTGCAGTGAAGAATCTTGTGAAAAACCAGTTTCTTTAAAATCAATTTCATCATCACTGGATGAATGAATGTGACAAGTAGTAACCTAGGAGAAAGATAAGGAATTCATGTTAAAAAAAAGTTCTGAATAAATACCAGCTACAAAAATCCGTACTAGTTGTCCTAGGCTTACAATCGTTCATTTAATGGTGGTTTGAAGTTACAGCAGACTTGTAAAACGTGATTTATGAGTTGTCCTCAAAGTTACGACCATTGCACCAACCCCATGGTCAAGTGATTGCAGTTCAGGTGCTTGGCAACTGACTGGAATTTATGACGGTTGCGGCATCCTGTAGTCACGTGATTATGATTTGTGACCTTCAGGGCTGGCTTCTGACAAGCAAAGTCAATTGGGGAGGCCAAATTTGCTTAATGAACGCATCAGTCACTTGTGATTTGCTTTAACAATCACAGTAAAATGGTGGTTAAGTCATGTCCGATCAAGTGATGACTTGCTTAATGACTGCATCACTTAGCAACAGAAATTCTGGTCCCAAATTGAGGTCGTAAGTTGAGGACTACCTTTATAGTAGTAAAACTGAAAAAAGAAACAAGTATTCCACTATGTAGAAGAATTAATTGAAATATATCCTCACCCTAGCTAACTTGGATTCAATTGATAAAAACCTCCCTGGAAGATAGGCTTGAAAAGGTTACAAACTGCCGTATCTATGAAATTACTGCTAAAACGGGATACTTTAATTTTTAGAATTATTTTCTATATTGTTGTAAAAGTATTTTGTTTTGGATACTTGCTCAAAAATAAAGTCCACTTTAAATGTAAATTTTAACGCTAATCATTACAGACACCACAATTATTGGGCAGATTATAAATAATACAACATTCAAGATAACAGAATAACAGAGCTGGAGGGGACCTTGGAGGTCTTCTAGTTCAAACCCATGCTTGAGCAGGAGACCCTATTCCAGTGATGGCGAACCTTTTAGAGACCGAGTGCCCAAACTGCAACCCAAAACCCATTTATATATCGCAAAGTGCCAGGGCTGCATCGGCATTGTGGTGCCCTCGGGGGAGGGAGGGAGGCGCCTCTGAGTGCCGCCTCTGGCACGCAAAAACTGGGGGCGCAAAAATGGGCCACCGTGCTGCAAGGTGCAAAAATGGCCGCCGCCGCACTGCGGGGTGCAGATACAAGGCGCTGCATCACGCAAGAACGGGGCAGGGCTAGTGGGTATCACGCAGGCACTAGCTCCGCCCCATTTGCAGTGCAAAATGCTTCCCCCTCCCTTTTCTTCCAGTCCAACAATGGTTGGTGAGCTCTGCTCTACCACCTCTATTCGAGCTTGCTAGTTGGCCGCTTCGCCTCCTTTGTGCTGGGTGGGGCTCCTGCTCTGGGCAGCGGTGGCGGCCTGATGGACCTGCTGCTGGCAGTGGTGCGCATGCGAACAGAGAGGGCTCTGAGTGCCACCTCTGGCACGCGTGCCATAGGTTCGCCACCAATGCCCTATTCCATTTCAGACAGATGGCTGTCCAATCTCTCTTAAAAACCTCCAATGATGGAGCACCCAAACTTCTGGAAGCAGGCCATTCCACTGGCTAAGAACAAGATAACAATTAAATAAAACTCAGATTTCCAAATAGAATTATAGTACTAATCAATATGTTTCAGTTACTTCTTGCTATAGTTTCCTATCTTTGTGCACAACTATACAGAAAAATAGTTGGCAGCAATGTTCTGTGCAAGAAGAGATACTTCTCTGCTAGCTCAAGTCATCTCTAGATCCAGAACCAGCAAAAAGCTAGTGGAGGAACACACAGGAAATAGTGACCTAATTAGCATTTGACAAAAGAACAAAGAACATAGATCTTTAAGTGGAGGGAAATTGTTAAATGTTAAATTCTGCCTTAAAAAGTATTTGTACTATTCTTGCTTTTACAACAAAATCATTATACCTGCAAGGAAGCTTTTTTTAATGTATATTGACCAAAATACCTAAACAATAATATTAACAGTAGAAATGTATCTCACATAGATCAGAGTAAAATGGTAAAAGAGATTAAATAAGAGACTAGGATTAGAACTGGCACTCAGACTTAAAAAGTAAGAAGTTAATGAATCCAAGAGAAAAAAGTTAGGTTACGAAACTGTAACTTTTTTGTAAACAAAAACAGGAAGTGGCCAGTAACTCAGAACCAAAAAAACCTGAATTAACAGGGTACAGAAAAATTAACACAAGCGAACATTTGAATTCTGTCTAATAAAGAGGGAAATGGGAATCAGTAATTTTTGGATTGATTAATATCAGCAAAATGCAGCTGTGATATTTTAAATCTGGCATAAAATAACAGAATGAGGTAACTATTTGTATGATTATTACATGTTGTTTTCATTTTGTAATGCAAAAATTACAGTTAATAGCAGTAACTTCTCAAATGCCATTTAGAAAACCTACTAAGTCCACTGTGTTTCTCTTGTTGGTTTCGCTTAAAGCGTTTGTGCAGAAAGATTCCCATCGATCCCTGATTTCATCTGGAAGTTCTAGGAAGTCCAAAAAGAAAAGAAAAAATGCAATATCAAGAATGCAGATTGTCATCTTTCCAGGTACTGTAGATTATTTTATAAGTAATTTTGAATTTTACTAATACAGATTATTAAAAATATACACATTTATTTCCCAAGGTAATTAGGAAACTGCTACATTGCATTTGCTATTTGTATACAATGGTATGCAAGATTTTAAATTTCAAGCTATAACTTCAGGAGAGAAATTCTTCTGTGACTATTTCTGTACCTGAACTTAAATTTTCACTCATTGCTCCCAAAATACCATTCTTACAATTGGTACCTTGGTAGAGATATGATTTAATGCATCATTATGTTATCTTCAAAAACTGATCAACTGATTTATTCAGCTAGACATCACCTTCATTAATATGTAGAAAATTAATCAATTGACCAACCAAACAGTTCCCAAAATTAGGTAGCAACTTATTTTGCTTGTTTCATAATCAAAATCATTATTAAATCATTATTTAATCCTATAACTGGCATTTGGACAATTTGCTATTCAGATATAAGTGGTGAGTGCAGCAAAACAATGGGCTTCTGATATTAGTTGCCTTCCATCACTGTAGGCAATTCCAGAACTGGAACATAAAGATTTTAGGACCTAATTGCAAATCCTAACAGACTTGATTAGTTGACATAAAATTCATGAAACACTTAGGCTTATAAAATATTCTCACATTATAATGAAACTATAATTTGACCATGGGAAATTGGAGTACCACTACCATGTACATTATCCAGACTTCCTTGAAAAGCTGAAATAAAAGATTTTTTTCAGCATAATGTGCTTTTCATTAACTTTGCTTAATAAATGGCATAACTGGCAGGGCCATGGACAGCTTCTGAATTTTTTTCATCATAAATAAATGGTAAGGAACCGGTCAATCTTAAAGCAAGTAATGGTTTATTGGAACAGTTCTGGATGTATGCAGGAGGTATGCATTTTCTCTTTTTCAAGACACGTTTGTGTTTTCCCATGTGCATTGGAAATTTGTCTCTTGTTGAGAGATTCACAGCTCTATGTCACACTGGAAGCTTGGCGTAGTGGTTAAAGTATCAGGCTTAAAAAAACCAATAGACTGTTGAGTTTTAGTCTCATCTTAGATACAAAGCCAGCTGGGTGACCTTGAGCCAGCTTTCAGCCCCAGGAAGCAGACACTGGCAAACACTTCCAAAATGCAAAAAAAAACCGCAGGGACTAGTCCAGTCACCAGGAGTTAACACACTGATTTGAAGGCACCAAAACAAACAAACCAACCCTGTATGATCTGAATTAATTATTCATCTTTCACAAGAAAATGTAACCTCTGCAAGTGTTCAAAAATCAAGTCAGGCAGAGGATACATGGAAAACATCTTCTATTTTCGCCTTTTTTGTGTTAAACAAAAACTCCTGAGAAGGAATTTTAAATATCTTCATCTAAAATCTGTTACAACACATCATGCAACTATTAGCTGAAACATGTGTTTATATTATTAATCTGGAACCACTGAGAGCAAAAATAAAATTCTGATTTTTGCTAAGTTATCACGCTTAGAAGTAAAATACCTCAGATCCTATGAACTCTTAGAAAGGACATGGGGAAAAAAAATGAGATAGCAGATACAGAAAAACTGATGGTAAAAGGAGTCTATGAAAATGTGAATTTCACTTGCACAAGACTCAGTAAGCAAAAGTACAATGGATTACCTTTAATAAGTTGCTGCACCAGTGTACAATTTGGCCCTTTATCAGTACTGTGCACAATGCAATTTGCTATTCTTGTTAAGTGACCCATATAGCCATAGCGTCTCCCTCCTTCAGCTCTGCAAGAGATAAGTTATTCAATCAAAAACATTAGTTAATTATGAGATTTTCATTTTATAGACTTGTAGAAAATGAAACAAAAACAAAGGCGGATTCAAGCAGCATAGAGTAGAATAATAGGTCAGTTAAAGATCTAGCAATTGCACAACAAACTTCATTAGCTTTAACTTTGGTTATTATTATTTTTTTGGTAGCCTGCAGCACTATGTTGCTTAATTTATGATTTAGTCCACTGTGAAAATCTAGAATATGGGTGAATTCGGTAAGAAATCCAAATATATTGTGCAAAGCCTGGAATTACAATAAAATATGACAGCTTAATCCTCCACATAAAAATCTTACACATCCTTAAACAACTATTTAAACAGCATTCTGCATTAAAACATATTCTTCTTGGTTTAGTTTCAATATACATTTCTTCTATAAGTAGATTATAATTATATATGGAAAAGATGGCCAAAAACAGAGACAAAAGTGCACAAAAGTGAGTGTTTAATTAAAGCAAACATAATAAATAGTGCAAACAAGGAGAATTAACGTTATCTCTTCTCATGGAGGGATCTCATACCCTGAAGAATCACAGGAAAAAGAAATATATGAAATTCAGAATTTATATAAAATTGCTAACTATAGTTAGTATGTAAGTCAATATATGTTACTCACACTGTATCTTAAAAGTACATAATTAGAAAAGTTTCTGACTACTCACTGTTTCTTTTCATTCATATCCCATGCTTCAAGTATTCGTTCTATTAAATGGCACTTAAGGAAAATCTATGAAGAAAATAAATGTACTTAGTTTCACAGACGAAATTTTAAAAAAACTTAAATCAAATAATAAAAAGAACTATTTATCACATCAGTGAATGGCTAGCCATCAAACTCTACAGTGCAAAAAGCACTATTTTTTTAACAGATAGATGTGTGTGTGTGTGTGTGTGTGTGTGTGTGTGTATACATACACATAGACAGTCTGTCTTTCTCTCTCAACCCTGCCATTTGATTTTCAATGTTTTATAGAAAGAATAAAGATTAGATTCAAATTAACTACATGCTACAATTATATTATGTATTCTGTCAAGTAACTGCTTAATTGTTTACAGTTTTAAGGGGAGACAGAGATTTCTCGGGCAAATCATCTTTATGTAACCTGACAGCAAGAACCAGATGCAGTATTTATGAATTGGAAATAATCAGCAAGGATACTTCTTGCATTTCTGCTTTCATCCTTGCTATAAAATCTCTGTTAAAAAACAGAGGTACATGAATTCTGGAGTGGAGAGGTTATTACACAGTAGAATCCCATTAAAATATAATGCTAGCATGTGTTTCATTATACTGCCACTCACGTATTATAGTTGTAATAAGTTCTCAAAGATAATTATTCAATTAGAGAACTTAATAACACTGTACCTAAAGTGCAGCAAAGTTGAAGAACAAAACAAGAAAATGTCTTACGTGTTTCAGCAAAAGGTTGTCTCTAGTGGGATCTGGATCTGAGACTGTACCATTTTCTGTGCTTTCAAAAGGACTTGCAAGAATCAGTGCAACACAAATTTCTACTTGAGTATGCAAAAAATTGTTCCATGTGTATTTAAAAAACATGTCCTGTAGGAGAAAAAGAAAAAGGAATCAGAACTACCCATACAACTTATTAAACATATTTGGATTTTAAAAATGTTCTTCCTCATTTAGAAAACTCTCGGGTACTCTTTAGAATAATGAAGGAAGCTGAAATTCAAGATGCAAGAAGCAGCAACAAAAATCCTAACCATCCTTTTTGTCAGAATTTCTTTCACATAAGTATTACGGTATCTTTTCCGTATTTCTCATGTCCGTGTATGTGTGTGGCTCTTCACCAATGTTGATTAAATGACTTGGTATATTGAGTACGAATGTTTGCACCACACACATCGGCTGCTGCAGCAGTCAGTTGGTTAGAGCAGAGGTCCCCAACCTTTTGGGCACAAGGGACCGATTCCGTGGAGAGAGGATTTTCTGTGGACTGGAGGGTACGTGGTTTTGTGTGCTGCCTGCATCCCACAGATGGGGCTTTGCTTGTTTGTTCGGCCTGGTTGCTGGCATGCCGCGGCCCGGTACTGGTCCACGGACCAGGGGTTGGGGACCCCTGGTTTAGAGCAATGAGGAAGGGAGACCTGAAGTACTTTTGAGCCAAGGTTTCTGGATAATGAACCACTGGGTGGGGCTAATAACTCACAGAAAAGCAACAAGTTCTAATATTTTAGTTATTGTTAGCTGCTCTGAATTGGCAAAAACATATAAAAGGAGGAAAATAATAGCAATCATCAGTATGGGCAGACAAACATCTGCCCATACTACACCCCAGACTTAACAACTGCTAATAAGAAAGACAAAAAAGACTGGATAGTGGAAACTGCAATACTTGGAGACAGCACAACAGAAGAGAAAGAACTGGAGATAATTACAAAGTATGAAGACCTGCAAATAGAATGATTGTGGCAGAAGAAAGCAAAGACAGTACCAATCGTAATAGGTTCCTTCAGTACAATTCCAAAATACATGGAGCACCACTGAATACCATCAGCATTGACAAAATCACCATTAGTCAATTGCAAATGGCAGCTTAACTTGGAACAGTACATCCTGTGAAGATACCTTAACATTATTAAACAGCATCCGCCTGTTCCAGGTCTTTGGGAAGGACTTCATAGCTAGACAAAAATGCAAAATCCAGTCTAAATATCTGGCTGACTGTGCAACCAACCATAATAATAAGTGTGCCATGTGAGCTCATATATCTACAATACTCATTTATGCAAGCAGCATCTCTAAAGAGCCTTTAGAAAGAGAAGGCATTGCAATTTTTGTGAGTGGGGATTTCTGTATCTTCAGTGGAATACAATAGCTGGATGAAAACCAGATTCAGTTAATTCAGTTAATTCTAGAGAAGCCCACCCTATGCAGGTATAAGCATCTACTAACAAAAATGTTCCGATACTGTTTCCAAAAGCAGATTACATGCCAGTTAAATGCCTTTTTTAATTCCATTTAATATGAAACAATAAGATGTACAGGATATGCAAAGTCCTTCAATTACTATGATTCTGTGGCCAATAAATACACCCATGCTTTTCTTCTAGATCCATACTTTTGTGGAGAGCCTGCTGTGGGACTTTTAAGATTATTTTTAAAAAACTGGTTATCCTTATTTCCTGCAACTATGCTTGAATAATAACAAGAGATTACATTATTTGAACAAAAATGCACATTGCAGAAATCTGAAATGCAATCATGGAAGTGTAAAATTGTTCAGTATCGATTTAACTTTATCTTCTCAATTATGTTTGAATCAATTCTCATCAAAGTTAACATTTTAGATAAAAAAATACCCCAATTTTCCCTGCACTGCAGTGAATAGGTTTAATATAATACATGGTTACTGTTGTATCTCCCCCATGAGTTACATATAGGTAGTCCCTGATTGTAGGGACACTGTGAAGACTGTAGGTTTGAGAACCATCACAGGTACATTCAGCATAGTCCTAAATTTGAGTGGCCACTGAAGGAGAGTGGTTGTTAATCAAGGGCCACCAGTAATCCTGCTGGATTGGGGGTTGAGCCTGGAGGCTATTTGGTCTGGCCACTTGGAATAAAACGTATTTCTGCTTTTATCTTTGTTTTAGTAGATTGTTGTGAGCCTCCTAGATAGAACATTATATGCAGTAGGCAGCCACATAAATCCTGTAAGTAAGTAAGTAAGTAAGTAAGTAAGTAAGTAAGTAAGTAAGTAAGTAAGTAAGTAAGTAAGTAAATAAATCTAAATATATATATATTTTTTCTTACCAGTATAACTCCTATGCTGTTGAGCTCTATCAGTTCCTGGTTGACATTGTTTGTATTTGTCTGCAGAAGGCTGGATATTAACCTAATCACATTTAACCTGGTATTCCCTACAGGTGGATCCAGTACACCCCATGTTGTCTTCATAACACTTTTCTATGCAAAAAAGAGAATGTAACATTTAAAATAGAATTCCACTTTCTGAAGAAATAGGAATAACAGGAATAAGTTAAGCACAATGCCTATGTAGTTTTATTCAAAGGGTTATTTTCCATGATTTTATGTTCTGGAATACTGAAAACATTTAAGTGGATGTTAGGTTTTATTGGTAAACTATCCACAACAAAAACCTCTCCAGAAATAGACATGTCTCCAACAAGATTAGAAGCATGAGAGTTAGGATCGAAGAAGCAGTAGCGTATTGCACCAGCTGATAAACCAATTCATAATCTGAGAAAACTGCTGAATTTCCAGCCCAGGAACTGCATCACTAAACAAATCTACTCAAGGACAGAAATCTTCAGGGCAGATCTTTTAGAAAGCTCATTTAGCAAGTGATTTCCTAGGTGCTAATGGCTTGGCATATTTATATGTGTTCCTTCAAGTCAGCTTTTGACTCCTGACAACTGTGTGGGCAAACCTTTGCAGTTTCCTGACAATGTTTTTTGGAAGTAGTTTTCCACTGCTGTTTCCTACAGCTGAGAGAAGATGACTGGCCCAAGATCCCCCAAGCTGGCTTTCTACTCATGTTTGTTGCCTAGTGTCTTATTCACTAAACCAAAGTGGCTCCCAATGTGGTGTAGAGCTGTAAATTTCTCATTAAGAGACAAAAAGTTCAAATGCACATGAGAAAACACAAAATGTGTCTCCTGGAAATTTCTGAAACCTGGCAAAAGCTTTGGAAAACCATGGAGCTGTAAGAATCTTGAGACTGGCAGCTCAAAGAGCTAATTCTCAAAGAGTGGCTTACAAATGGGATAAACAATTGCAGCAACACTTGACGATGCTTACGGGAATCTGAAACACGACCTTCCCCAAGGCAGAAAAGAGAAAACTGCCTGTCCACACACCAGCATCCCTAGAGTAGCACCTGTATTTGGCCTAAGCCAAAATGTTTAGAAAAATAGAAACAAAGTTTTGTTTAAACAGGGAAACTAAAGTAAAACAAAAGAAAAGAAAAAAAGAGGCACTCTAAGACAATAGACTATTATTGTCACAGTTAAAACTGAACAGCAGGTTCAGCATGAGTTGCATCTAATCACATTAAGAGACTTAAAATCTTTTAAGTTTGATAACATTCTGAAGTATTAAATCATGTTCTAAGAGCCCTTTACACAAACTTTTAATCCTGAGAGTCCTTAGAACCAGTTTTGTCTGATAGTAAGATTTTAGAGCTATTTTCTTCTAAAGTACAGAAAATGCTGTGATATCACTGCACTCAATACTGCACTTCCACCCCCAATCTACTTATAATTCGCCTTTAGCAATGAGCCCTATGAATATTACCCTCATATCCAAAATTGGTGGAAAAATTATCGTCCTTCTATCAAATATAATCAGCTGGAAAGAGGATTCTCCCCACCAAACCTGGCCAGGATATTTTACTGAGCACTTACTCTCTTTTTAACAGCTATAACTCACAGAAGATAGGATTACTTAATGTAGGAAATATTCTCTTTCTGCTCCTGTTCTTCTAGCTGCTGTCATTCCTATATCATCTTTGTTGAAACACATTATTCTGGAAATATTTGGATATTGGTATAGGACCTGCATCATATATTGAATATTTTATTGACAGCTGGACACAATAATCTGCTATGCTCCTTTCACCTATATCACTGAATAATCCACACCAGTGGTTGACTCTCAGCTTCAGTCAGTCAATCAGTCAATTATAACAATAGACTTTATCTGCCTGTATCAATTAACCAAAGATTTTGGCTCTAGTTCTGCTATTGTTTTCCCTCTCCTTGCTAGTCCACTGGCCATAACACCATCAGAGTTAAGGGTAAAACTTAATATTAATGCAGTTGAGAAAAATTTGGTAAGACTAATGCTTTTTTTTGAGCTTATGATTATCCAGACTGTGATTATGAAAGCCTAATTAATATGCTCACCCAGTACCACTTTCTGGCTTTCTCATCATTCATCAATCTAGCGTTTAACTGTAGAAATCACAGGCAAAACCTAAATATAACCAAGACATTTATGCTGGCATGGTAATTAAAGAAAAGAGGGAGCCCTAATAATTAATTTTTGACTTGTTCAGTCATATTTTGTCCTGTTCCAGCTAACACCAGTTCCTCCGTTCTCCATTTTGTGAAGTGCAGCCAGTCTGAATGAGGCCATGGTGCAGAGAAGTAAAAGAAGATTGCACTTCCTGTTCTTTCCATATCTTCCTAGCTACAATTACACTAAGTGTATGAATACTTATTTATTTTAGTTGTTTTCAATCCTGTTAGATATCCAAAACAAAGTGTAAGTACAATATTTAAAAGGTTGTGAAAAAACAAATAACACTGACAAAAATGAGTTGGGATGGGGAGCCGCCCTTACCCTGTTCCTCTAGCCATTCTTCACTTTCAAACTACTGTAGTTTTGAATTTCAACATCCCGTTATGGAACTTTATGGTGCCAATATCTAAGTTAGGCAGATCTTTCAAATATCAGGAAGGAAGATAGCACAAATGGGAGGAAGGTGAAATGGAATCAATCCTCAACTAATTTTTTCCAGAGGCTCTCTCCCATGCTTGGAAGACGTGAAGATCTCTCAGGGAAGTCAAAGAAAAGGAATAGCTACAAGTCGCGATTCTTTACAAAAATATATTTCATGGCACCCCACCCCCAAATGCTAGTAGTTCCATCTGTACCTTTTCACCTTACTTAAATTCACAGCCCTAAATCAAATCTAAGGGGGGAAAACATAAGACTAGATGCCCAGGTAATACATATTCAGATCCGCTGGGTAGGTTTTGAGAAAACCTGAGCTTTTGTTATATGAACATAGCTAAAATACCACCAGTAATCTGAATCAGGATCATGTTGAAAGCTAAGCCAAAATGTCAACCTACAGAAGGGATTCTCCTTCAGATCAAGCAAGATGACATATATTCTTGCTCCCGAAGTCACAAAAACTGAATCAATCTATTTTCATTGAGTTGGGTGTTTTCCTTACTTTGGGGGGCTCCAGGAGCAGTTCGTGGAAAGATGCAAGTCGTGCTTTTATGGCTTCTAATACACTTTTATTGACCGAGTATGTTGAGTGGCTCATACCTGGAGGGCAAATCTCTATGTGACCTTCAAATCTGTAACAGGTACATAAAAAGAAAAATGTTTGCCTATTAATACCGCAAGCAAGGCTACTGAAATATTATGTCTGCTACCATCAGCATTATCAAGAATGAGTGTTTTCAATTGCAAATTCAAATAATCTTTTCATCTACAGAAAATAACTGCTAGCCACAACGTAAGAACTATTCAATCTTTTCTAGAGACCAAAGCAATATTTCAGACAATGAAGCTGAAAGCTTTATTGCGTTATATAAAGCGTTTATTGGCTATTCCAAAGAGTAGGTTAACGCTTAACATAATTCATATTTTCAGCAACGTATTCCACCCTTGATTAATTAGTTCCATTGTCATGGAAGAAGTGTACCTTAATATTAGTTTGAAAATATGTGTGGCAACTTGCATATAACAGGCTCGCTACCATAAAGCACTGCTCTATTATGAACAAGAAATCTGTGGCTGTATTCAAAATAACTGGCTCAGTACCAGGATGAACAGAAGACCTGTTATCATTATCAATGCAAACTTCAGATTTTACTTGTTCATTCCCTTCTGATACCTGGAATCGAAAGATCAGGTAAAAAATATCAGAAAAATATTGATTCAGAATATGTCCGTGTATATAAGAGTATATCATCGTATCTAAGGAAAGATAAGCAAATATAACCATAACCTAATAGCTATTAAAAATTGTTAAGAGTATCATTAGGTAAAGATAAAAAATTAACTTACGTTGGCCGTCTGGTTTCCAGTAAAGTCAGTAATATCTGAATTGCACTGACTATTGCAGATTCATTTTTCTCTTTATTAAAAATATTTGATAGCAGCTGTTCTATAATTTCTTGTCTATAATAAAAGGATAATGCTTGAAATATACCTTTCAGGACGTAGATAATTTCAAAGAAAATCTTTGCAGTTTATTTTGAAAAGTTTTTTATGCAAAGTCTAGGCAATTATTTTTACTTCAAATCTAATTCTTACAGTTGGAGGAGAAAATTTTGTAGATCTGGGTTCTTACTTTTGTGGTATAAACAGTCCTCGACTTATGACCACAACCGGGATCAGGACTTCCATCGCTAAGTGAGGTGGTTGTTAAGTGAGCTGCACCCAATATTATGACCTTTTTGGCTGCACTCGGTTAAGCAAATCATTGCAGTTGTTAAGTGAATTACACAGTTGTTAAGTGAATCTAGCTTCCCCCATTGACTTTGCTTGTCAGAAGTCAGCTAGGAAAGTCGCAAATGGTGTTCATATCAGCTGGGGGGTGGGTGGGTGGGTTGCAATCATCAAAAATACACGTCAGTTGCCAAGTACCAGAATTTTGAACATGGGGATGCTGAGATGATTGTAAGTGTGAAGACCAGTTGTAAGTCACTTTTTTCAACGTCATTGTAACTTTGAATGGTCACTAAACAAGTGGTTGTAAGTTGGACTACCTGTACTTTGATATATAAACAAGACAATTTAAGCCTATATTAACAGTGTGTCTTGGAAAGGTTAACCTTCTTATTTAATACATTTTTTGAATAAAATCTGCGGATTAATCTATACTCTATTATTACAAATATTACTATTACACATAAAATGTGTGAGTCACCTGTTTAAAAATGTACACTGTTATAAATACAAAAGCTCAGGTCAGATAAATTACTAAGTCATGTTTTGACATTTATATTTGTTTTTATTTCATGTGGCCATCTATCTTATGCAAATAGCTCTGAGTGGCTCACAATAACAGAATAAAAAAACCCCCACAAGAATACAAATATAAGAAAGCATAATGAACAACAAATTAAAAATATTAAAAAAAAAACGAGGCACCTTATTCAGAGATAAATTCACCTATGTCAGGCTTCACTAACAACCTGCCCCTAATGCAGTGTTTCTCAACCTTGACAATTTTAAGGCATGTGGACTTCAACTCCCAGAATTCCACAGCTAGCAATGCTGGCTGTGGAATTCTGGGAGTTGAAGTCCACATGCCTTAAAATTGTCAAGGTTGAGAAACACTGCCCTAATGCCTGTGGGTTTATATAGCCTTTCAGGAGGCCATGAGGTCAGGACCACGTGGATGGGGGAGGGGAGGGATGCTGTTCCAATGCAAAACATACATCTCCTGGTTTCCACAAGATGCCGCTGTTTCATTAACAGGAATCAAGGAGCGGGCTTTACGCCACCTTGCTCCATCTGGTGGGGTGGATAAAACAACTGGAGATGGGTGGTTCCACAAGTAAACTGGCCATGTATCATGTAGGGCTTTAAAGGCAATAACTAGTGCCTTGATTTGTATCCCGAAGCATAATAGAAAGAAGTGGAGCTAAGGCAGCAAAGACATTACATAAGTGAATGAATGAACTCACTTCATATGTCTTGAATTACTTTTCTAAATAGTTCTGGAGTGGGACTATCATATTTGCTATTTAGAGCTCTAAAGATTTTATTCTTATTTATTTACTTCTTGCTACAACTTATATGGACACTCTTACTGTTATTAGTATCTTCACTCTTCCTAGTAGAAGAAATACATTTAAAATTTCAAAATCCATAGATAACATGCTTATTTTAGAAGTAAAGTAATATCTTTACACCAACCTACTTTTCTAGTGTTGCAAGCAGTGGATCTGGTTCAGAACTGTTCTGTACTTGTAGCATCTGGTCTCTACTCAAGCGTATAATTTCACAAAGTGACTGGGATGCATTTGACTGTCTCTGAAGAAGAGAGAATTTGTAAAGGAAAAAGAAACCTAAACAATTTTATTTGCTAGTTAATACCAGAAACAATTTAACACAGATTCACTATTTTCTACAAGGCACAATTACACTTCGAGTCAGTGGATTAATATGTTTCCTCAGTCCTATAACTACATAATTTTAATGTTTTGTTATAATTAAGTATATAATAATGAAGAAAATTTAAACTTTGTAAGCAAACTTTATAAGTAAACTAATATTTAAATCTAAATATGAATTATAAAATATCTTCCTTACATCTTCATCTTGAGAAGGATGCACGATTTCCACAAGCCGCTGAATAATTTTCTCTTCATTTAACCACTGTGGAGACATGGTATTTTTTTTTTTTTAAAAAAAATCACCTTCCAGAATTAAGACTAAACATAATTATTACATAATCCACCCACTGGTGCTATTTAACACTCAAGTGCATTCCCAGAAATTCTAAGGTATTCAACATTTGCAGAAAGGAAACTACAGGTACTATCAGTGAGTGTAACATGCTACATATTTACTTTGTTATGCAATGATATCGTGAAAATAGCTCATTCTTATGTACCTTTGAAACAAGATAATTATTTAAGAAATAAATATTTTCTAGTTATGCAAGCCTGCATAACTAAACCAACAGTCCAGATAACTTCCTTTCTCAGTAAGTCAAGCCTGTCAGATGATAAGGATACACATTATTGTTTTTACATTTTTTTGTGTAGAGTTTTGTGGTCAGGTTGGTATTACCTTTTCAATACATTGTCAACACACCACCAACATAGCTAAGCTGCACTCTGTTCTCAATACAGCAAAAAGGGTTTTAAAGGGAAAGTTGGATATCAAAAAGAAATAAAAACAAGACACAAATAACTATAGGTGTATAAGGGATAAAATATACAGGATTTGGGAGAGATATATGAGATATGTAAAAAAAACCCCAGATAGATGGGGATGCAGAGTCAGAAGAAAATGTTTAGTATGACCTGAAATGACTAAAAAAGGAGAAATTATTCAAAGGCCTATGAAGGAAGTAATATTAGTTCTTATTACTTCCTTCCAGATGGGAATGCACCAAAAAACTTAAATAAATTTAATCTGATTGCAGAAATTAAGATAATATTGCCTTCTTTACAACAGCAATTCTTGGGAGAACCCTACATGCATTCTGAAAGTTTGATATACAACCTAATTTTAAATTTGCACAATTTACTCCAACTTCCATAAGAAGTAAATGTAGCATCATGAGTTGATTCTTTTCTCTTCCTTGTATTTCTTTTTGCTTTGTTTGCCAGTATAAATCATAAAGAGTTTGAAGAATGTGAAACAGTAACTGTTGTTAACTTTACGTGACCTAATAAATGTATTATTCAGATATGGATTTTGAAATATGAACTACTTACATTTAATACTTCTTGCCTTGGCTGTGGAGGTTCTATGCATGTCAGTAGCCTGAGTAGTAAATCCATAATAGCAGAGGTTCCTATGTGCTTTATTATGAGATCTACAAAATCATGCTTTTTCTTTAAGAAATCCACAATCTGGAAAAAGTAAAAATATGAACAAATATTAACAGAATGTTCTAAAACATTTTGAATCCAACAAAGCATAACAAGAAGATTCTGAAGAAATTGCTGTTATTAATTTATAAATTATTGAATTTACTGAACAAGTTCATTTCTAATGTTGACTATATCATGATGGGTATTCTTTACTAAATACTGTTGTGAGGTATCTTGTACATACCCAAAATGTCAAGTTTATTTTTTCTAGTCCCCATTCTCCCTATTTTGTCTTTTTTTCTAAGCAGGAGAACATTTAAAATAAAGCTCTAGATTACAGACACTTGGTATTTTTAAAAAATCATATTCGATAAAAAAAAGTTTTACTATAACTAGCTTATGAGACTGGCAAATTTTGAAATAATAGAAAATACTTGTACCACAGTGGCACACAAGATATTTATGAGCAAAGGAGAATAGGACAAGAAAATTCTGCTGATGATGTTACCTAGTTTGGTAACGAAACATTCAGAAATAATATTAAAACAAGCTTGGAGAACAAACCACAGCCAAAAACTGGCAAATTTTTCAAACTGAAAAATATAGTAAAGGTTCTTATGATTAATTCCGAATCCATATATGTATATATGTGGATCATTCAAGTCTATTAGGTACAAAACAGTGCTCAGACCTTAAAAAATGACTCCTATTGATTCAGTTAAACCAACACGACTCTATCAAACATATAAATACAGAAATATATCTCCACACAGTATTAGAAAGGGACAATACAAGACAGACTCTCAAACATGAAGATTCAAAAAGGAAATAAAAATTGGAGCACAATGGTCCAAAGATAGTTAAAAGCAATGTATCGGAAATACCTGTTCTGGTTTTCTGCTAATAAGAATACTCAGCACCTTGCTGAAGAAACTGGCCAATAATGGATTTAGAGGGGGCTCATTTAGAAGAAAACTGTACAGTTTTATTAGTAATGATTCCTCTTCACCCAGTCTATCATTGATCTGTGAAACATCTGAAGTAAGCAGCTCACAAGATATATTTGGATATCTAAAAGAAAATAGTTGAGGTTTTATTTTACTAGAATTACAAACCCATAAATACAAAAAAAGACATGCATTATTATTTTGCAGCCTGTTAAATCCTGAACTAACCCAGCCAGCTTTCACAATCTGTGCAGGTTTCGTAGGACTTCCATTTGAGAATAGCATTTCAATGAAGCTACTTTAGATGGTTCTTCAATTGTATGTATACTGTATGTACACAGTAGACGGTATTTATACAAACAATATAAAGTATCCTTATCATCCTCAGATCTAGCCCTGACACAAACCTCAACTTCTGGAGCTGACCAAAAGCAAAAGTTGAGAATAATAAAAAAAAAGCAGTGTAACAATATACAGGTCTCCAAGGATATATACAGCATCAGTTTAGAAAGAGTAAACTGCATTCAGAAAGCCTCTAAAGTTGCAGCTGGGCAACGTAGCAATCTCAGCGCTTCCCTATATGGCGTTCATGCACCATGGCAGAGGGAACAAATACAAGACAGAGCCACCTAGAGCAGTGGTTCTCAACCTGTGGGTCGGGACCCCATTTGGGGTCGATCGACCATTTCACGGGGGTCGCCAAGAAAGGCTGTCCGCCATTTTTTTTGTCCGCCATTTTTTCCCCTTTTCTGGCGGGTGCCTTACCTCCCTTGGGCTGGGCCAGCTGGTGGTCGGCCTGCTCGGTCTCTGCCGCTTGCCAGCTACGCCTCGGCTGGCGCAGGGGGCGGAACCACGCATGCGCGGCACTCCCGGGCAGGGAAAGTCCTCGACTTACGACCGGTTGGGTAGTCCTCGACTTACGACCGGTTTAGTCCTCGACTTATGACCGGTTTAGTCCTCGACTTACGACCGGTTGGGGTCACGGCATTAAAAAGGTTGAGAACCACTGACCTAGAGGTACACCTCCGGTAGGCAAAAACCAGCAACAGGAACCACAGCAGGCTGCAGGGCTTAGCAAGGGCCAAGCAAGAAGCCCTTTCACAGCTGTTATGAGATGGAGTAAGAAGCACTCCCCTGAGCAATCAGGAATGCCAATTTGACAATCAGCTCTCAAGGCATGACAGAAAAATCTATTTTGATTACTGCTCCACATGCCAGGGAGCTCACAAAAACCTCCATCATTATTACAATTTTTACAATGAGGATCCAAATGGTCATTGGGTGTGAC